TGAATTTCACAATAATGTACATGCTGGATGGATTGCTCTTCACTTTAAAGTTGGAGCTGCTAAAAGTCTTTTACCTACTTGTCATAGTTTATCTGCCACGTAGTCTTTGAATTTTACCACCGGGATCCAATTAATTAATTAATTAATTAATTAATTAAAAACAATTTTGAAGGCGCAGCAGCTAGGATTTAGGAATCCACTCCTAAATGAATGTAGAGGAAACACTGGGAGTAAAAAGCATGACATTTGCTTCTGAACTGTAATGGAGTAGAAATAGCAGAAAAAAGAAATAAATACAAGCAACTTAAAATTGTGCAGCGCTTGAGTATATAGAGTTACTTTTTACCACTAGAATAAGACACAATGTGTTTATATTTTCACAGAATTTAAGTCAAAATGGCTAATATTTGTCTGAACATGAAACTTAATGTCCAGTCTGAGAGGGAGGAGCTCTGTGTGCCTGTCTTCGACCCCCACCTCCACCTCCCGCTGACTTTGATGCACGTCACAAATGCGGCACTTCATTCATTAACCCCTACCCCTCAATTGTGTACGGAAGGCGTTTTAAATTTTTTAGATATTTATCTATTTCTTAATTGCATGTCTTAGTAAACCAATAAACCCAAGTGTGAGATTTGCTCATCCCATCACTGTGTTCCTGGTTAGGAGTGAGAATGTAATCCAAAGCAACAGGAGGAAATGACCTCAGAGCACAGAGTTTATGGGTGGATGGCGGATGTTGACATCTGATAGCCTGCCATTCTTCGCTCTTGCAAAACCTGTAGCAATAAAGACGTTTTTAACTCGTGCGACATCCAGAGGAGATCAATTACGGCTTAAAATGACTACGGCAAAAAAAAAAAAAAGTTTGAGCCCTGATGAGTTTGCAGTCAGAGTGTGTCGACTTGAACGACCCAAACAGGTCATAAAGCGCAAAAGGAAACCGGCAGTCGATGTAATTTGAGTTCACGGCCAGTTCAGTGGGTGTCCACTTGTGTCTCCCTCTGATCTGCAGTGAGTAAGCACAGTCTTGTTGTGTACCTGCAGTGGTCACATGCTCCCCGGCTGTGTCATTAAGGACAGATGGTGAAAGGTCAACCAGGCAGAGCCGTGGACGGTCCAATGTTGATACTGAGTCACAAGATTTGCGTCAGCCGGGCATGTCAAAACAACACCGAGGAGGCGCCTGTCAGCCTGCTACCTGCCTCCGACTTTTGCGCTAGTTTCCCACAGCTTTTAGATTTAATCTTGAGTCAAATATGATAAAAGTGCGTCATAAGAATATATTTCTCCCTGTTTCTGGGAGTTAGATTCTGGTTTTAGTGGTTTGACACCACATCATAACTCTTCTCTGGGTTGATTGGCTGTTTGCAGTCAGGCAGTTATGAGGCATTCGTAGCAGCTTATCAGCATCTGTTTGAATTTGTGTGTTTGAACTCTTTGTCTTCTTCCAGGTGTGTGTGTGTGTGTGTGGGTTAGTGCACATTTGCTTTCTGTTTTGTAACCTTTTTATGTAAGGTCCTCTGTATACTCATGTCTAAACAAATGCTAATGGAACATTTATTGCTTCATTATTTTCAATATAAATGAGAGGAGCAGACACTGTTGGCCATTTAGGGTTCAGATACAACTATCTTGAAATTCTCTCAGTAAATACTACTACTACTACTACTACTACTACTACTACTACTACTACTACTTCAATAAATACGTACGCTAACTCAAGTTGTTTTTTTCTTTTTAAAGAAAAATAAGAAATCTGTTTTTTTAAATTCATTGTTTAAACCATTTTTTTTTAATTCGGCTGAACATGAAATACTAATAAAATGTAAAATGTCAGACTCCAGAAAATAGCTTTTCTATTTTCTGACATCTTACTCGTGTTTGCTGACTTTCATCAGTTAATTAAGAGAAATACTTGTTGATCGTTAAAGTCACTGTCAGTTACTATTTTTTAACTTTGCCCTGTGAAGTTATATTTCTTTATAATCACTAATGGTGATCTTAATGTTACATTAGATGAAACATAATTAATCAAGCACCTTTTTTGATAACTGATTAATAATTATAGTGAATTTTCAAGTAAAACTTTAAAACTATCTCTTTTTTTTTAAATTCTTCAACATTATTTGCTGCTTTTCCCTCTCAAATATAATTGTTGCTAAGTTCAGAACAATATGGACATTTTCACTACTTTCTGATATATTATTATTGGTAGATTAATACATTAATGAAACTACTTGTTAGTTCCACCCATTTTTGGACTTTGTTGTTATATTTATTCTAAATTTATATTGTGAAACAGATTGCACATGATCACAAATGAAACAAAATTAGATGTTGAAGAAATCCTAAATTCAAATAGTCCTTCCTTTATCAAATGAAGACAGACAGCATTTGACAATTTTGATTAAAATCTCTTTAAGGAAACATGGTCACCTGTGAAACCGATTCTTTTTTTAAAGACACAGAACAAGTCAAACTTCTCAAAACTGAAAAAAAGATAAAGAAGTAATCAAGATTATAAACCTGATATTTAATCTAGTCCTTTGATATTAGCCAGAAAAAAATGGTTTGCACATGATGTTTATTACACATTTATTCAGTTGAATTGTTTGTTAATTGTATATAATACTCTTTACGTTTTAATTTGGGTTGATATTAATATTACTTTTGTTTCTCTTTTGATGTCAGTTCTTGGTTGATGCTCATTTGTATTTCTAGAATACTATCATTGGACACAACCAATATTAGATAATAAATCATAATTAAAGTATTTTTTAAATTCCATTTTTCAGATATTCTTCTCAAGCTACCTCAAGTCACACATAGTTAAGACAGCTTACCTAGGAGTCAAAACTGAGGGCAGAAAAAAAAGAGAAGCTGCACCTTTATCAATCACAACCAAAATAAATAAATAAAGTAATTCATCTCTCTGGGAGAAAGTGTTGCATGCGTTTAAAGTCCAGTTTCAGAGGTTTTCTTACAATAGGCAGAGAAGAAGAAAGGTTGAGAAACAAAGGGAGAGTTAGTGAGAGTGGAGATCAATCGTGGTGGCTGCATGAAAGGCTGCTGCAGCCGGCCATTTAGATGGATTACAGTAGCAGAGCTTGGCTTTCATCTCACTCAGGGATTGTGTCTAGAGGGGAAGGAAGCAAATTGCTTCTCATCATGCTTAGCAAGTGCTGCTCAGTCTGGTTCTAATAGCTGAGTCTGTTTGAACACCGTGATGTATATTTCTTCAGCCCAATATACAAGAGGAGCATTAATATGCTGCTCTTGAAGGCGGCTATCAGTGACAGACCAGAAACAGGCTAATCTGTCATTCTCTGCTCTGTACATTTTCCTAAATGCGATTCATCAGGACGCCGCACTAACCATTATGATGTGACAAACGCACAGCTGCGAGCACGCTCTCAGGTCGAGCCGCTGGGTTGTTATCAGTCGACTCTGGTGGCAGAGAAAAAGATTTCACAGCTGATTTGAATGTGAAAGTGAAAGATTTCAGAGAGACAATGTGCCGTTAGCTCTCAGCACATTACAGTCAGGATTACTCGTTACCGTCTCTGGATTTCAACTGCTCTGTGATAGCTGTGATGTGACTCTTTGGTTAGTCTGTGCTGTCAAAAACATCCAACAGAGTCAGTCTGCAGTTCCACTTGTTCTCAGAGCTTCAGGGATCCTTTAAGAATTTTTCAGAACCAGAGAAAAGGAGGCAGACGAATATGATTCTACACAAAGGTTTTAATGAGTTTGCTTGATTTTAGAATGAATGTCTGTGAAAGGAGTTGATCATTTGTTTCATTATCAAATCTGATACCTTTGGAAATTATAAATGAACAGAGCACAAACAGGAAGCTTGAAATAGTTTTTGTTAAATGTAATTTTATAATTACTTAGACTGTAAAAGGTTAAATCGCTCAAAATAATGTCAAATGGCCAATGAAGGTCTTTGAGTTCTGAACTCAAAGATCTTTAGTTTTCAATAACGTGAAAAGGTTTGTATTTTTACTGCACAAACAGATAACTCTGGGAAATCCGTAACATGCTGTAATTTTCTCTACATTAATAAGAGAAGTTTGATTTTTATCTATTGAAGAGTGAAGACGGCAATGTGAGGGTTTTGGGTGAATGAATCAAGAAATAAAAGAAGACAAAGCCTTTGGCACGTTTGCATGCTTTAAATTGTTATATGTAATACAAAAAACATCTAGCAATGAATATCAAATATTGTTCGGGGGGATTGTACTGCAAAAAAAAGAGAAAAGAAAATGAAATACAATAAAAATAGATTTTATTTTTCTGAAATTAAAATTGAAAAGACAAAACTGAAGATCCTTTTGTTGGCTTTTTCCATTGCTTTCACCAGCAGTTTAGTTTTGTTGAAATCGCAAATTCTATCAATAACTGCTCAAACTCCACTGTTTTTTTTGTTTGTTTCTGTTTTAGTTTAAGCAAACAACAGTTTCACAAGTCAAGAACAAACTTTTACACTTCAGCTTCAGTCAGTCAAAATAAAGCTTCATGTGTCTTCACTTTTAGGAAAAAAGAACGTATGTAGGAACAGGAGCATTTTATTAATTAAGCCTCACTTTGCTCCTTTTATTGTTGTTGTTTTTTGTTTGTTTTCTTTTTAGAAACTGCTTAAAACAGGTAAATTGTGCTGAAAACATAAGAAAACTGGTTTCCAGTTGTTAGTTATTTTTCACTTTTAAAGCACCTTAGTTTAAGGAGATTTCATGACTTTTCGACGTAAAATGTTTCTTGTACAAAAGCATTTTTTTGTATATGTTTTGTCATACATATGATAAGAAACTTGTATTTTTTAATAAGTTAGAAATGTGAAATTACCTCACAGATTATATTGTCTTTCGCCAAACTCTGTCCGAACTCTTTCCATGTGAAAGATGTCTGACTTGACGATGGCGCACATGTTAGCTTTCCTGTGAGTAAAAGATGAGTGACTGTGGATGATAGGAGGGCCTGTGTTCACGCTGCAGGGACGCCCTCCCCGTGCTCCACCGAACCTGCCAATCATCTATCTGACCTCGCATCTTTCTGACTGATAAGTGATGTAGATGTGTCCGCACGCTACTCGTGGATAAATGATCACTAATCACCCCCCGAAGATGAAGGACAAATCTGTAAGTAGAACTAACACCGCACATTCTCCAACTTTTGTTTTTACATGTCAAAACAATATTGTCTGTTGGCAGGAAGGCTGTTTTTTCCTGTTGTGGTTAGGCTGTGTGAAGCCGAGGCAAACATTTGTCACAGTGACACACACAAACAGAAGTTCAGACTCCGCTGTCGTCTGATTGATTACATTTCTAATTTAACTTTATTTAAATCTAAATAGATATTTTATGATCTGAACAGCAACAGAATTTACACACCTCGCTTCTTATTTTTTTTTCTGCCTGGAAGACAAAACATTTAAAAAGTCTTCTACTATTCGGAGGCTTGGGGGACACTGGCGATGTCGCTGATATGTTCTCGAACAACGGGAGAAAACTGTTTGAAACTAATAAATTCTTGACAATGTTCGCATTTCCATTTATATCTAAGTGCTGCAAAGGAAACAAAGCTTCCTTCTCTGACTTCCTTTGCAGGTGCTACAGTAGCGACTGTAGTAGCCTTGATAATTATGATTAATCCAACTTTCTTGCCTGTGGTAGTGTCAGTCTTTTAACAAACCTTGTAATTATTACCAACTCCGGTGAATCACTCGGAAAATAAATGAAGCAAACCTGCACTTTCACCCGTTCTGGCTAAGAATAGGTCCAGGCTGCATATGCCACTTTAAATAATGCTTGTTAAAAGGGAAACTATAACTCTATATAAGTGACATGTTGCTTACCGCTCTCACGTGCTTTACGTGTGTACATAAAGTCACAACTCTTATCCCAGCTTTTCCTTAATAGCCTTTGAGCAAACACAAAGGCGTTCTTTGTCCTGGAGCTGTCAGTGTCATAGCCAGAGTTTGTGGCTTAGTGTAAGTAAGTGGAGTTAAAGCCGCTGTAGTAGGAGTACAAGTTGTCAGAGCGCTCAGCCCAGACCACGTGGAGCGTTGGCATCTGTGTGTCACGCCCTGAGACCGGCTCAGCGTGGATACTTTTACTTTTGGCGGCTGCGGCATGCTGCTCTGGCCTCGTACGAATCCCGGGCAGCCCATTGTCAAACAGGTTTGACTGAGAGTAAAGCTGGATTCAAAATGCTCTGCATGTCTTCGGTGTTCGGCTCGACTTGCGTCCCCATTTGGCTGAGACCGTAAATACAAAAAAAATCTAAATCTAAATGGCAAATACTGAATCATCAGATCAGCATCTTGCACGGTAGCTCCGTGCCACGAGCATCTAACCATGTGTTTGTGAATGGGTAAAAGCTGAGTAGCAAGTGAGAGGACTTTTAGTTTTCATTTCAGCTATTTTTCTCTTTCATTTGGCTCGACTGCACAAGCATACGCTAAAACTAGTTTGTTACTGTGTATGAGCTGATTCTCAACAGTCTAACAGGCAGTTTTGAGCCCACTGCTGCATGCATTTAAACCTCAACTCTTAACTCTATACCGTACAAATGCTGATCCACATCTGGATCCATTAAAGCCAGATAGCTAAAGCGAGCTCGCCCTCCTCCTCCTCCTGCTCCTCCTCCTCCTCCTTCTCCTCTCCGCAATGTGGCACAGACGCAGCTCTGACTCAGCAGGTGTTTCACAGCAGACATTTTGGCTTGCCACAGCAGGAAAAGCACAGTTGTTTTGAAGACATTAAAAATAACTGCATTCCATTCACCTAAGTTGGTTCCAGAGTCTTGGTAATGCGCACATTGATTTACTGTCATTCTGGACTGAAACACTTGATAGAACTGAGTTGTTGTTAACAAAGTGTGTTTCGCCTTTCCTCTTCCAGGTCAATATGTCTGCTGGGAAAAAGGTCAATAGAATGAAATCTGTGCTTACATGAGAAAAATTGACTTGCTTTTTCCTTCTTTCTGAGTGAAATATGAACTTAACATCACAAACTTGCCAAATATTGAGTGTTCAGCAGCTTGAATTTGTAATATTTGGTGGCATGCGTATCAATTCAAAAAGAGTGAAAAATGCATGTCCGCATTTGTTTTTCAATCTGTAGCATAGACCACAACGCATGTGTCCACTCTCGATGCCCACACAACATAGAGTTTCATTGATTTTGTGTCTCCTCGCGCCTTGCAGGGAAGACGCATTATTTTTCTGTGAAGTATTAAAAAAGAGATGCATAGCCATTGCTAATAACGAATTACATTTATGAGAATTTGTTATTTTAGGGCATTAAGTGCATGTTTAATGCCTTTCTCAGTGATATCTTGTTTCGTATGTGCAGGAAAAATCTCTTAATTTTTAAAAAGAAAGCTTAGGTTGGCAGTGGAGAACAGAGCAGGTATGTCATCTCCACCCAAAGGTGCAAAGATTGTGTATCAAGACTTTCCACGTGTGTTGCAAAGAAGTCCGTTTCTTTGCGTCTTTGTTCTTATCAGCTATGAAATTTGTCCACATCTCAGACTTGCTTTACTTTGCTTTTGTTTTGTAAAAATTTTTTCCTCTTCAACTTGATTCGTTGACACCATCTTTCTAGAAAGTGCTAAACTTGAGGACCTGCACTTTCTTTTCTGACTGCCCCCCCCTCCCACCTGCAGCAAAGTTACATCTGCCTCGAGATTTGCACTGGATCCCCCAGGATCCTGACTCCAATGCAAATGTCTAGGCTGTAGTGTACCGTGATAGACGACAAAAATGTCTACAAGGTATTTTTGAGAAATTAAAACATGTTTAAATTTCCGTATTGCAAGGTTACATGAAATTCATAGTTGTTCTCTTTAAGATTCCTAGTACGGTATTTCTTAAATTATCCCTCCTTTGGGTGTAAGAAATGTTTCAGACAGAAGGCTAAAATCCTGAATGACTTCCTGCTTCCTGTTTGCGCTCTGTTTAGTTGTGTGTCTGGCAAAAGCTGAAAAAAAAGGAGCAACACGCAATTAAAGTTGGAGATGAATATGCAAAAAAAGAAAAGAAAGTAAATGTGTTCTTAAAACGCTGTCCTGTCTCCAAACAACGTTCACAACACAGTCTCTTTTTTTGTGTGCAACAGAATACAGATATTAAGGGACTTTACTGAGCTTGAAAACCTACTTAAGGATAAATCCTTGCTTCAGGGATTTATTTCAACATTGTTAAGAAAGAAACGACAACATCATTAAATAAGGCACAACATGTTGACAGCAGTTCATCTTTAACATGACTGCTTGTAGAACATCAGATCACATTTCGTTGTTTTTTTTTTTTCTCACATAAAATCAAGTTCTGTGAACCGCCCGCCTTCTAATTCAGATGGAGAGTCTCAGCGGTGTGTGTTTTACAAAGCTCGAGTAATCCAAGCACATAATTCACACATGGCCCATGTCTGGAAGTTTAAGTGCCGTCGCTTGTTGCCTGGGTTTTTGCAAGGCCTCTCTGAAGTATCCACGCTCAACTGTACGAGCCTGTCTGCTTCCCATGATGCACCTCCCCATCTCCAGCCTGGTGCAGGCACTGAAAGAGGCTATTGTTCCTGTCACTCTGAGGCATGTTGCATGCACTTATGACACAGAGTGGGAGAAATTATTCCCATTATACCTCTGGAATGTCTTTGAATCAATCAAATCTGTATGAATAAGTGGCGCTCTTTAGCAGACTTTGATTTACAAAGTCCTTCAGTCATAAATGTGCTTGTTTATTTGCTTAAAAGAAGAGAAAAGAAACTATTGTTGTGTACAAAAAGTCACTGGGAAAAGACAGAATTGCAAGTTTACTTATCAAAAGCAACATCTTGCCTTTTGTTAATGTCTCTGCTCATTGAGGCATTTTTCATCTTTAGTGTGACCTGGTGCAAAGACCTCCTCCAGAGCCCGATTCAGATGTCTGATCCTCTGAATCGAGCGGCCTGTTAACACTTTGCAAGAAAACAAGTGGCTTTCAGGACTCCTTTCCCCTTAATTCCCTCCTTTTCTCACAGACCTTTGATTGATGTGCAGCAAACCACAGTTGGAAAAGCTCGGAGCTTCTCTCATGGATTTTTCCGGCGTGATGTAATGTTTTGATGATCCTCAGTGTAGTATGGCGTGTGCGCTGACATTCAAAACAAAAGAAATATCCTCCCCTTGAAAAGGTGGACTTCTGTGTCTTCTCAGGAAGATCATTTATGCTTCACATACCACAAGACCCTCTGAATCCCCAAAACAGGACGCTGTGTGCTTTGACATGCGTGAGAACATTTGATTCTCCCTGTTCTCAAGTTCCAGGCCACATAAAATGCTTATGGAAGTGAGGCTTGCTGATCCTATTTCTGCATCTATAAGTGGTGCAAAAAAAAAAGAAAAAAAAAGCCTATCCTTGTTTTTTTTTTTTTTTTAAATCCTGGGTTGAGTCTGAGTCTTCAGGATAGCTGCTCAAGGTGTGTAAACCAAGAGCACTATGTGGAGGTCATGAAACACTGCCCTATCCGTCAGCAGAGAGTCTATTTTTAACCCTGCTGTATCACGTATCACCTCTTGCCATTTTGTTCTTTTGTTCAGTCGGGGGGGGCGGATATTTCGGGACACTCTCGAATAGCGTGGGAGGCGAGGTGAGGCGGAACCTCTCCCCGACAATTGATCCGTCCCTCAGCTTCGTGTGTGTGTGTGTGTGTGTGTGTGTGTGTGTGTGTGTGAGGTGAAGTCCATGCCTGCCGCCAACCTGTTGCAGGGGCTGGAAATGTGCTCTTCCCATTCATTAGCCCGCGCTGCTACCAAGCGCTTTCACTGCGTCTGTATTTGTGGTCTCTGATAGGATCCAGATGGCAGTCTGGAACACCCGTGCAGCCCTCGTACGAGCTTCACATATGGCCAACAGTAAAGGAATACTTAAAGGGGCCTTGCACTGGGGTCACTGTGTAAACAAGTGACGGTCCGTGCATTTATGGTATTATCAGTATATTTAAAAGCTGCAGTGTTCCTACAGTAATGCGATTACCAGTGCGTGCAAAGTGTCATCAGAAGTCCTCCACAGGCAATAGTTGTTGTTGTTGTTTTCTGAATATCTACCAAGGTGAAATGAACAACAAGGACATCTCACACACATTGAGATGTTTTC